AAAAATCCAGGGACTAATAATTAAGAAAACAATAGTTATTCGCAGGAATAAACAATGCGCGGTTTCAATTATCAAGTCTCCAATATCCTTTTTCTTCAGCTTAACAGGCAAAGTACCCTATTACCCGCTCGTTTGCATGATTTGCGATTAACTTTTGAGCCCCTTCCCACCAAAAGACGAGTACGTCAATAACGTTTCACAAAAGACATTTGGGAAGTGCTCCGTGTTGGCCTCTTGACGCATCTAAAATGGCCTCATTGTGTCTAAGGGATTACGAAAGTGTAAAATTGCTCTCAGTCAAAACAGCTCAAGATTACTACATGTAAATTTACAGTTAATTGAAATTGCAAATGAGACAAGGTGTTACCTTTACAGAAACTAAACCAGATCGTCGCGGCATCAGAAGTGCGTTCAAAACGATTCTTGAAACTCGTAGAAGTTTGAGTTCTTTCATTTCACCATCTGATCTTTCTACTTGTGCGCTTTTGTGATTTTGTGCGGATAGCAAAGCTATTGAGAAAAAGGTATGCTTGCATGTCTTAATTGTGATTTTCTTGTTTTGTTTTTTACTATGGAGGTTACCAGGTTACTTTGAGTTTGTAAGAGTTTTCGATGATTGAATTTTCGGCTTTTCTGCCGAACATAAATATATGTGTATGTGCCCGCTTGAAGACCTTGGCCATTCTAAAACGACGTCCACCACGCCGTTCGATCGAGGAAAAAGTTAAACTTATGAACGGAAATTCGACAGTCAAGAGATATCATAGATTTCAGACCGATATGTTTGGTGCCCGGCCCAATAAAACTGACTTGAAAGAAGCGAAAGTCACCCGCCACAGCTTCTATTTCAACTGAACTGCCGAATAAAATTGCTCCCCTAAAGAAGGTAATCTAGCCATGTGGAAATATTTTGCTTTCCAAGGTTCATTTACCGCTGCGATTTGTCATTTTTAGTTTCACATAATCAAAGTGATAAAGACAACGTTAATTTGTCAAAGAAGAACCCCTCATTACTGACTAAAATTTCGCTTACCAGGAAATTACGCAATCGCGAACATCAACCTGTTGACTAACGACATACTTATTTAGTCGTCATTTCAATATCTCAAGTCACACAGAGCTATTTTTGTCATCTTAGTGTTGTTATTCACTTAAACCTGGCACAAGTTAAAATTCGTTATTGATCATTTATTTCTCACCGTGAATTTTTCTCGGTTACATTTATTAGTCATTCAGTATAATTCTCAGAAAAAGGTCCATTTTTTGTAGCTTATTATTCGAGCCAGAAAGCTCCAAAAAAAATGGTATATATGATGTTTGGATGTGAGCTATTTTTTTGCAATCTCTTTTGAGGGCTTCTTCAGTACTTTGTGAAGTTACTCTATCTAATTTGGAGGCAGCTATCTGATTACAACTATTTGGGGACTTGAAAACTTCCCTGGCCAACACTTTACTTGAAAAATTCCACTAAACTCCTAGATATCTGTGTAGTACTTCCAAAATGTTCTTTTCAAAATTTTTTTTAGTTAAGTGAAAGAAACTCGATACAAATCAACATCAAGACTGAATAGATTTTACAACAATTAAGACGTCTACAAAAATTATCGTATTATCCGATTTTTCAAAAAAGTTAATTAATCGCGGGTCACCTTCAGACTTGAAACGAACCATTTATTCATAGCGGGGCTCCCACGCGCGCTTTGCGCGCGTGGGGCAGAGCCCCATACTCATGGAATATGGTCAAACTCTTTTCATTTGGTTGTCACGTGACTGACTGAGCGTACGTACGTGCCCTCTGTTATGTATGCTATCACGAAAGTACCATATGATCAAATTTGAAAATATGGCGTCCTTGTGAAACTCACAAAGTACAGTAACAATGCTATAGAATGCTCTGCTTGGAAAGAATGGATATCAAGGTCTTAAAGGTGACAGAATAAGCTCTCGAGTTAGCGACACAACGACTCTCAAGGCGATGCGATTTATGGACGTAAAGTGAAAACCGAACTTTCG